AATTTCGGAACACGATGTTATAATCCTGTCTCTTATACACATCTAGATGTGTATATATATATATATATATAACTCCCTTGTAATAAAGTTGTGTCGTGTGTGTGTAAATATATTTATTAATATATATCAGGTGTTTCCTCAAAAAGGGGTTCACCAAAATAACAGAACCCCATGGGTCTCAAATCTGTATGGATACAGATATCAGCATGACACAACTTTATTACAAGGGAATTCACTATTGTCTGTTTTTCTGGCAGTCTGTATTTCTGTCTGTTAGCAAGATTACGTAAAAACTAAGGGGAGGCTGCAGCACTCAAGAAAATAATGTGCTTGAATACGACGGCGATTCCATTATTTTTTTTAGGGTATGCTGCAGTTTTGCCCATCATCACGGCCTGAGTAAGAATACTGCATTCAGGCAAAGGAAGGAAGTATATGCTTTATTTAGTGACTGCTCTAGTCTTAAGTTAAATTGAAAAAATAAATTGAATTTATTGGATCTTAATAAAATCGTGTTATGGTATTATTAACAAAAAAGGTATTTTGAAGCTACATACGCTAATGTATGGTTTAATGATGTTCGCTTTATTTAAATGCGACAGTGTACTACATACAATGCACATATTGTATAAGCTATTGTAATAACACATTTTTGGTATAGCATCTTTTATATAGGATACAAATGACAATACAAAAATTATTGTTCCTGCATCACATGTTATATTATTGCATTATTATACACATTGGCCATTTTTAAGTGGTTATTCTTAATTAAACCATGTATACCAGTGCACTGGAAAAATCCTACCTAAGACGCCCAGAAATGCACCTGGCTTTATAATGACTAATATTTAAATTTAGTTTTTTACTTTAATTGTTGTACTGTAAAATTGCAAATTGAAGCCCTGGGCTTCTTTTGTTTGCGAACTTTAAATGGGCTTATTTTTGAGATGGGCTTTATTTTGAGGCTACTTTTGTAAAGTTAAGAGGGGGACTTCTTTGCACTTTAAATTTTGGGAGTTAGTATAAAACAATAAACTGTATCATGGAGTGCATTAACCGGTATTAAATCACCTAAACTACTGGATAAACCAAGTTTTTTAAACCATGTTTTTAATTTACTTTGTTGCTTTGAATCTCATGTACAGCCCATGGGCTTCTTTTCGAGGCTACTTTTGCAAACTAAAGAGGGGGCTTCAATTCATGATAGGCTTTTTCTCGAGATTAAGCCCATTGGACTTCAATTCAAGGTTTTTTGGTACAGTATTATCTTACAATTTTGAATGGTAAGAGAAATTTATTGAAAATTAACAAGCCCTATAAATACAGTGACTGCAAAGACCCTTACATTTTACATATTTCACCACATTCATTGTATCACCAATTTTGACAAGGTACAGCATTTCTTAAAGTAAACAATAAAATCTAATTTCACGATTCACATTTTCGATTGAGCAAGACATTCTGATATATTATACTGCACCGGTGCCACATGTCCACATGGTGGAACGATATTGTGATGAAGGGAACATTCTGATGAATTAATGAAGACCATTCTGTTCAAATTTGTACACTCCTTCAAGGATTCTTCTGCAGTTTTGTTCAGTAATGGCATCTCTTCTGCTTTAATGGTCTTAAATACAACTTGCTTGGGGTAGATGTCATCACCTGCAAAAAGAATTTGTATATAGTATATATATAAATAATAATAATAATTTAATAATAATAATATTAACAGTAATAATAATAATAATATGAACTATTGTTGGAGTGTGTCCTACTATTGTACGAGTATGTCTTATTATATAACTCATACACAGATTCTAGGCATTAGATTGGCTAAAATGTGGGCAATAGAAAGTACTATTCTCCTCAAAAAGTACTATTCCCCTAAAAAATAGTACTTCTTTGTCCTGTTGCGTGATGTGGAAACTCTAGGCCTCATTTAAGATCGCGCTGATGGTAAAGGGGACTGCGACCTCTACGACAATAAAAAAAAATTGGCACTTGACTGCGCCACGGATCAACGAGTAAACGATAAACAAATATGGAGGCTAGTTGGTTCGGGCTCCTGGATGAAGACGGACTTAGCATTACTTTTTGATAGTTTTCATGATGCAGTAAAAGACAATTATACTCAATAAAGATTTGTTTGCATTAAATCTCTTGTCACTATGGTCAGTGACATATAGTAATAAAAAAATAGTAAAAAACATCAATAACAATACTCAAAAAGAAGTTTGTGTTTATTACACGGTTAGAAAGTTTTTTTTTTATATTCATGTCACTTCTCAAATAGATGAACAAGACAGAGTCATTATGTATATTATTAGTAATTTATTTTTACTTTTGTTTATTAATTTTTCTTGACATTTGTGATCTATCACTGTCTCGGTCAAGGATCACAATGGAAATAAGTACTTCTGAGCTTTTTTGTGTTATCCTTTGTGATTTTTTTATTGAATTTATTGAATCACTGAATAAATTTAAATGAAAATTAAAATATGTTTCATATTGTACCGAAATAAATCAAATCAAATCTAGACAATGCAAGACTGAAGATGGCATGCACTCCTGTCAAACAACTTTGATCCAACTATTAAATTTACTACAGAACCAGTTATAATTACTTTATACCTAGGCTCTAGGATATATTGTCTGGAGGGGGGAGGGGACCTGAGCTGTCCGACAGGGGGACTTGGGCTCACAGGCCCGAACTGGGGGAAGGGTTTGAGAGGGTGTTCCTCCTCCCAACTGAGATTTTTTTTAAAGAATAGGAACCTCTGGATGGAAAGAAATTACACTCTCTAATTATGACAGACATGTGTTGGCTTGGCTTGGGCCTATTTTTATATATTTTTTAGTCTGACTGCCCGACGAGCTCTATCCGATGGGGAGAGGGCTTGGGGTGGGGAGCTTAAGCCCCTGCTGCCCCCACCCTCTGCTGGCGCCGCGACTCTGTACATCACAATTTCGGAACACGATGTTATAATCATATCAAGCATAGCACTTCAACGAAAAGTTTCTTTTTTAAATTATATGAAAAAAGGTCTCTGGTGTGATTCAAACCTGCAAAACCTTGCTATCAAGGCGTGAATCATACCATTAAACCACCGAGACCTAATTATAGGGTATATACGCTCAGATGTAACCCCCTTAGGCACTTTCTCTCACTGACTGCAATGCTCACACATTAGAATTAGTAGGTTTAGAGACTCATTTATACCAATCTGACTCAAGGCATTTTCACAATAAAATAAGGCATACTGTACTACCC